TACTAGTGTGACATTGGTGGCCCCTGGGAGCCAGGAGGAGCTTCCAAACTGAAGGGGAAATCCAACATTCACCTCACACTCATTTAAGCAAACATGGAGCCAGAAACACCAAAGCCACTAAATAGGTTGGAAGCAGCGCATTCCCCGTGGGCTGGAACCACCTCCAGAGGAAGATGATGTTGAGCCCTTTGGCAGCACAACTTGAGACTACATTACTTCAGAAAAGACAAATATCAAACAGCAGCTCTCCCCCAACATGCTGTGAAAACAAAGACAGCAGGGCAAGCATCCTACAACCCCCCTATCCACTCATTTTACATTGTGGCAGCTTCAAAAGACAAACCTTACACAGTAAAGGGAGACAGCATGAGAGTACCTCTGACAGATTCTTTGTAAAAAGGTGTATCGGCTTCAGCTCACATTTCCATCTAAGCCACCAGGACAGCTCCATTCCCTATTGTTCCTCATCTCCTGAAGGCTGAACCTTCAGTGCTTTGCTGCTGCTGCGGGGGACACCCACCCACCCATCACAGATCTCTCCCAGTCTGTCTGCAGGCATCCCCACAGAGACATACAGTCTTGTCTCACTTTGATGGCTGCTTTTGTAACCCCTAAAGACACCTCTGGCTTGTTTTTGAATTGCACTGCAATACTGGATTGATGGACACAAAGAAATGACACTGGTTTGGCAAATTCTGCTCGACAGCTGGTTCACAGGACTTCAAAACAGACTGCAATATTGTTTTGGAGTGCTTCCCTTTAGCTGCTAAACGGAGGCATGAAAAGGGGAAGAACTGTATAAACACTATGAAAAATGATAGCAGGAAGAGCTTCTATTAGTCAGTGATTCTGACACTTGAAATTTTGTTTTCAGGCAGTTAGCTTAAGGCATCTTTGTCTTCTTTCTATCTTTAGGAAATAATTATCCTAGATGTGGGTGGCCCAAGACTGGATCATCATTTTGTTGTAAGAAATGAGGATGTCAGCAGCTGCAAACTTTTCTGCCTTTGTTTATTATTATTATTTTTGATCTAAAAAGTTTTTATGAATGCAACCAACAAATCTTGTTATAATTCATACACACATCTTGTGATTTTTCTTCTGATAGTTTTGGTATGTTTTCCTGGCTTTTTTTGCCATAAGAATGAAAGAGAAATTGCATCTATGACATAAGCAGACATTTCTCTTTGCTCTTCATGCCTGTAATGTTGTTAGATGTGCATGCTTTGACTTGTAGGAAAGATGTATTGCTGGCAGAGCAATGAGGTCTGGAAAGCTGGCAGGTCAGAACATTTATTAATGTTATTGGTTTGTGTAGATAAAGTTTGGCTCCACAGTAGAGAAGATCCCCTCTGAAACGTATATGGAGACTAAGAAATTAATTATTAAGGAGGATGTTACAAAAACATACATCAATACTGTTCAATACGTGGTTGTAAGGTAGTTGAAAAAAATTATGTAGACTCTGACTTAAGAGGAGAAGGAGTCTCAGGAACACACACTGTAATTCCTGACAGTTTTGTCTGGCTGCTGAACCTGTCATGCTTCAAAGTACCCCTGGAAAAAGGCCAAGCCCAGTCTGTAAGACATGGCTTAAGCATGACGAAGACTGCCAGGGAATTTTGGTTGGTTTCCACTTCTTTCTTATGTTACTTGTACTTCAGCTGTAGGAGAGCATGTTTCACTGAAGCATTTCAATCTCTCTTCCTATTTAAAAAATATTTAACTCCTAACTTTATGTTCCATTAAACTTCGCAGATAGAACATCTTCCAGAGATGTGCATGACAGAGTTGATCACTGGGTTAATTTTCATGTGTTAATTATAGAGCTGCCTACAGCTGCTTAAATTTCACCACCATTTACAATCCCTTTAACCACATTATAATTGTGGGGTGAGCTGTTTTGGGTTTTTCGGTTTGTTTTGCTTCTTTAAAAAAAACTATCTGACACTAAACAGGCATTTTTAATTGAAAAAAATACTAAAGAAGATTTATGTAATCAAGTCCAGGATACAAATCAAATTACTACTTTCTCTCCCAGATTAATCCCAGATAAATGGAAACTATCTTAATCTCAAATAAAAGGGAATGGTGATACTAAATTTGGTTGCATCATTTTTTGGCCTGTCATGCTTCAAAGTACCCCTGGAAAAAGGCCAAGCCCAGTCTGTAAGACATGGCTTAAGCATGACGAAGACTGCCAGGGAATTTTGGTTGGTTTCCACTTCTTTCTTATGTTACTTGTACTTCAGCTGTAGGAGAGCATGTTTCACTGAAGCATTTCAATCTCTCTTCCTATTTAAAAAATATTTAACTCCTAACTTTATGTTCCATTAAACTTCGCAGATAGAACATCTTCCAGAGATGTGCATGACAGAGTTGATCACTGGGTTAATTTTCATGTGTTAATTATAGAGCTGCCTACAGCTGCTTAAATTTCACCACCATTTACAATCCCTTTAACCACATTATAATTGTGGGGTGAGCTGTTTTGGGTTTTTCGGTTTGTTTTGCTTCTTTAAAAAAAACTATCTGACACTAAACAGGCATTTTTAATTGAAAAAAATACTAAAGAAGATTTATGTAATCAAGTCCAGGATACAAATCAAATTACTACTTTCTCTCCCAGATTAATCCCAGATAAATGGAAACGATCTTAATCTCAAATAAAAGGGAATGGTGATACTAAATTTGGTTGCATCATTTTTTGGCTGGTTTTGACTAATTTGCTTGCTTGCTTGCTGTCTGTCTCTTTTTCTCTCTTGTGTGAACCAGCAGAAGACTGATCTTAACTTCCTCTCTGCTGAACACCTTTTTTTGTGGATGAGGTAGAATCATACATGGAGGCTACTCTTGCTCTATCATACTGGCTTCACAGTAGTGGTATAAAACACTAGTTTTTCAATGTCTCTCAAGCATAACACATCTTTACAATCTTCTCTGAAAACCATTGTTTCCAAGTCTTGACTGCCATCTGTTATTTCAACTTGGGACTCCAGTAAAGAAGTGGATTTCCCTGCACAGTCATTCTGTTTTGCTTCTTAGTGGTCTTGGATTTACTGTGATTACTTGAAAAAATTCTAAATAACCCTGTGAGAATCTAGAAAATACTTCTAGAAATCATCTTTCTAAGTGTGCAAGACATTATATGAATAAAAAGTGCAGCTATTACCCAACAATTTGGCATACTGTTCTGGTTTTGTTAACTTTGCCACTGTTTTCACAGGGTGTTGGCTTCAAAAAAACACAGAAAACAGTAGTAATGTCTCTTATTTGGAACAGTCTGGGGGTGTATCTCTTGCTTGCTTATCTTTGGTATATTTAGGATTCAGAGTTTCTTTAACTTGGTGAGCCAGGGCAAGAAACATTTATCCATGCTCACACAGCACATTCACTCTCATATAATTACTTTCTGTTAATACTATGAAATTCTTTTCTTCCCTTTTTACATATTCTCCAGACCTGCAGACATTCAAGCACGTGATTAACAGACTCCTCACTTCAATCAGAATACATCTGGGAATAAAGTATTCAGGCATGTGCAGCATCTGGTTGCAGAATTAAGATCATTCATCTCCTGCGTCTTCTTAGGCCATTACAGCGTGAGGTATGTGCACATGGACTGTAGGATTCACGCAATGTAGGCTTCTTTACTGAAGATGAGCAATAAAGTTTTTAGAAAATGAAGGACAATCCAGACAGCTCCTGCTGTAGGTACATCAGCTCCAAACAGTCGCCCTATTCATGCACTCTGGCATTTAGATGAGGAAATACTGTGAATACAGAGAGTTCATTGACCAGTTCAAGCCAAATGGGAGTGTGGGTCTATGTATGTCATCAAAATCAAAGATCTTTTTTTTGCATTACCCTAAAAAAACATTCCATCTGATATCTGAGATAGGACAGCACCTGACAAGGTCACTATTGGCCTAGCTTTATCCACCTATCTTGAAAAGACGTTCATTATTTCTTTGGTATCTGCAAGTTTCATGAACAAGTCTGTTGACTCAAAACAATGCATGGTTGACAATCTTAGTGTAATACATCACATTTTCACATGAATTCTCCATTAATCATGTAATGTATTTTTCCATGTCATGGAAAGTGTAAAGTAAAAGTATGTTTCAGTATTTTACTGAATTAGATTAAGAATCTATTTGATTAACAGATTTTAAAATGTTCAAATTACATTAATATTTAAATATCATAAACTCAATATTCAGACTCCTTGGAACACAGTTTGCCTTCCAAGCATTTTGCTTATTTGATGGGCCTACTCATGGTGCAAGAGATTTCAAAGGAGAAAGGCTACAAAGACTTAACACTTTTGATATATGTCTTCAAAGGACAACTTTAAAAAATTTTCTTGGGAAAATATATTATTACTGGTACTGATCTGCCTGAATAGCCCATTGCACTAAATATGTTACTTATTCAGATATAGATTTATTTCCAAGTTCCTAATTCCTAATTATTATGTTTTTCTGTCCAAAATAAATACTAATATCATATAGTGGATTTTTAAAAAAAATCATTGTGAGCTGTATTAGAAGAACTAACTATCTGAACTTAATATGGTAGTTTCATGTAAAAGAGGAAAGAAAAGTGTTTTCTGAATGTTTCAGAAAGTTATTATTAGTCTATAGTCATAAGTGTGTTAAGACATGTACAAAAATGCATTAAAAGATCAGGAATAATTTCCTGAAGGCACTTAGAACTTGATAAATGATACATGTGATGATTAACTATGTAGGCAGAAATATAGAGTATTACCAATAAAAAAACTGCAGAAAACCTGGTTTTGAATGGGTGTGCACCAGTGGTTTTAATACGTAAAAACACCTGAACATACTCAGTTGTGTGGGAAGAGAAAACAAAAGGAGTAAAAGTGTTTGAATTAACATTGTATTTTCAAATGGAACAGATTTAAATATTGTCAAGAGCAGTGAGGGAGCTTGGCGTTGGGTGGAAGTGAGGTGAGCAGAGCACCGTGGCACCTTTCAGCGCTGCTTGAGCAGCCACAGAGGTTTGTGCAGGTCTAGAGAGCTGAAGTAAGACCACCACCAGGGCTTCTCCCTGCCCGCCGCCGACCCACCTCGAGCCTCACGCTGCCCGTGTTGGGCATGAGGGTCAAAAAGTTCCAGCGGGTCGTACGGGTTGTAAGCGTCTTCCATCGAGCGGCGGAGAAGCTTGTTGGGCCAGGCCTCAAGAGGCCGCAGCACAAAGTCGACTCGCCCAGCCCGTTTCATCTTGGCAGGAAGGGTGACCCTCTTCATCACCCGGCTGTATCCTGCCGCTTGGGCGCTGACGATGTAGGTCCCTGGGGGCAGGAGCCTCCAGTAGTCTCCATCAGCAGCTGGGGAAGGGGAAAGGCACAAAAGCCCTGAGCTTAGTTTTTAGCCTTGCTTCCTTTACAGTGACACACTTATCAAGCACACACAGATAGCACAAGCATGTTGGGATCAGGCTCTGAAAGGATCTCAGATTTCAGTTCATATTTTGAACAAACAACGTTCAGATGCAAACTCCTGAATGGAAAAAAAAGAAAGAGGCTCCACCTGTGAAAATCTGGCATTTGGGAACTAATGGAGTAAAAACCACATGCAAAATGTCAGTAACTGCTGTGCCTGTATAACAGGGAAGGGAAGTCTTCCTTCACACTGCTTTCCCAGGGGTACAAGGAATAACTCCAAAGAAATCAAATTAATTCGAAACTATGTGAAACTTGAGAAAGTGAAAGTAGAATCTGAACTGCAATATAGATACAGCATGTCTAAAGAGCTAAGAAATCCCTGCTTTTATTATATTACATTCAATTACTTTGCAGACGTTATAGCACCTAAGACTGTGGAGTCAGAGCTGCAGCTGGTATAAATTGCCATTAGTGTAAAATGGGTGTAAATTTCCTCCAGCTGAAGGTTAGAGCCTGCAGGCAAAAGCAGGGAGTTTTAAAAGAGAGCATTGATTCTTCAGTTTATATTTCCTTTATTTGGAATGGTAAGTTTCTTAAGTTAGTTAATGTTGAATTAATGCTACTTTCTTGTGGAATTTCTGCCTTTTTTAACACTGAAATTAAGACATTTTATTCATATGACATCCTTAACCGCACCTAACTGAGGAACAAATACTCCTTTTTCCTTCAATGTAAACACATTTTTTATTAAATTCTTAATTCTTTGAAGGTCCACTGTCAATGGAAAGCCATTGTCTGGGAAGGAGTTTGAAAGAGACCCTAATTCATGCCAGAGTCTCCCACCAGCCTCAAGAATCTGTATCTTCTCCACTATTGTATCCCCTCTCATGTTAGATTTTTAAAAGCTGGAAAGCATCCACTGCATTATAAACCATTCTGGCTTTCTGAATTGATTCAACAACTATCATTAGAGCAAAATGTTACCATTCACATCTTCTATTTTGTACTCCTACTCTGTTCTCACTGAAATCAATCATAAAATGAGAGCATTGATTTCAGTGAGAGCCTAAAAGCTCAGAACTTTATGACTGTGAAAATTAACAGTTGCCTAGGCCTCAATACATGTTTACCAGCTGTTGACAGATATAAAGTGAACATAATCAAATGTTCTAGCTTTTTGCATTTAACTATTGCCTAAAAATTGCATATATTTATGCTTTTCCACATGAACAAAAAAGCTTGCCTGCCCTTCAGTCATTGCAGTTATTACTGATTTTAAAGTCAATGTAAACCTTACTCTAATGCCTACGTCTCTTGTCCACAATATTTCAACCATCAAGGTTCCAGGCCTCCATATGCAGTTACAGGATGAGTAGAGCTGTCTCTGCCCCACAGCTACTGACTTATTCTCCCAAACATGTAACATCAAGGTGGATTTCTTAATCTCACTGAAGACACATTGGCTTAGATGAACAGCTGGAAACTCCAGGTGATAGTTTTAACAGCAAGGTCTGCATCCTAGAAACATGACAGGCTCAATAGCCAGTTTGACATGTCGTCTCTCTTGTTATTCTAGAAACAAACCCACAGCTGAGCCCTCAGTTCTCCATAAAGGTACCATTTCTATCAAATATGACAATACTTTTGAAAATTAACCTCTCAATGCTTTCACCCTGCCCCAGGAAACAGCTCAAACTAAAATTATTACCTGTGGTGACATCATGCTGGATGCCCCTGACTGAAATACGAGCATTTTTAATCGGGTTGCCAAACTTATCAGACACAATTCCTTTTATCCCCTGATGAACCTGGCAAAACAAAGCAAAGCAAAGTTAGATGGGAGTAATTTACTACAGTACCAACTCCTCATCTTCTACCAGGAAACCCCTGTAGAGAGGAAACAAATTTTAAGAGGTTCAACCCATCATAGATGCTCTTGGGTGTTAATACCCCTTCAGATCACATAATCTATTTTGGGAACTTCAAGGGGGGGGCTGAAGGAAAGGGATAACTGAACAAGAGCTTTTTTGAGCTACGTATGTGGCTCTTCTAGGTATGAGTGTCCCTTCTCTGTGCAGGTCTCTGGCTCCTCTTGGTCTGACTAATGTTTTTAAAAACTACATCTGACTGTTTGCCCTAGACCTAGAGACACAAAGAAATGAAAAGTTAAGGCTTAAAAAAACAATTTGGTGCTCTACACAAAATAAGAAGGCACCACTGGTGCTCTGAATGAAGTTAACTCAGTATGAAACAATGGTACCTTATTCAAAGTGTGACAATAAAAGATGTGTAAAATAGATCAGAATTAAGCAAAATTATTAGCTTTCAGACAGTACCACTTATCAAACAATACACTGCCATCCTGGCAGTAGAATAAATTAATGTATGTTGTATAAGGAAACCAGGTCTTTAGTATTAGTTGAAATATATAGGTTTAATTTTCTTACACTGCGTTTAAAAGGTTCCTGAACTACTTAGAAATAAAGAACTAAAGCTGAACAAATGTGCTGTGTTAGACACAGTTACTGATTTAAAGTTGAGCAGAAGCATGAAAAAAGAATAAGATGGATATTAGTATTATTTAATGCACAATTTTTTATCACATTTTTAATTCTCAAACACACTGATGCACATTGATCAATATTTAAAATTAAATAAAAGTATTAATGTGTTAATATGCTTATGTAATACCAGTGCATACGAATAGCTGAGGGAATTCCTTAGTTATTTGGGACTTATCGTGGTTTTGCTGCCTACACTTCACTACATGTCAGAATATCAAGATAGCAGTGTGTATAATGTCCTTTTTCCCTTCCCTGCAAACACAGAACCCAGCTGCTTGAGCCGATGTGAAAAGTACTTGGTGACAAACCGAAAAGCAACGTGAATTCTGACATACAAGGAGATGCACAAACAGCTTACTATGCTTAAAGTTCAACAAAACAAAATAGGAAAAAACCATAAGTATTTAAACACTAAATTTCTTAAGCTTTGTGTTTTATAGACTTCTGAAGTGAAAACATTTTCTGTTGCAAACTCTATATGACCTTTTAAAATGGAAGGTAATTCCATTTTTATTTTTCCCCTGAACTGCTCTGATCAATGTGAGCCATTCTTTACTTAGCTTCATCCCTTACATCAAAACAATAGAAAAATAGATTTAATTTTCTGTTGGAATACAGAGATGTATATAAAAAAGCATTAAAATGTTCAACTTTGTAGTAATTCTTCATATGAAGCTGGAAAAAAACTGATTTTATTAAATAGCCATTCTGTGCTGAGTGGAGCTATTCATGGGAGGGTTTAGGAACAACTCAGTGTAAAGACTTGAAATCTGTCCATTATGAACTATTATGATGGAGCACTGCAATTTGCTTTTCAACATGGACTTGAAGGTTTATCATATGGGTAGTGGGTAAATCGGGTCAGAAGAGTCATCGCAGACTCAGATTTAATTTACAGTGTAGACATACTCAAAGCAACATGACCTCATCCAACTTCAGTAATAATTTTGCAATTACAACATGATGGGATAAAAATGACAAAATTGAAATTTCTTTAACAATGTTGATTTGTTTCAATGTAGTAAATGTAATACTTTTGGTTTTGCCTCCAATCTGTGCAACATGCATTTGGGAGAGTGCTTTGATACCACTATTGATGGGGAGAAGAGATCAGTGTTTATGAAAATGAATTCTACTTCTGCGTGTTAAGGCAAGTAGATTTGTACACACACCAAATAGCCTGGTCTATATCAGAATAAGAAAACTTTGAATTGGTTATGGCAGACTTAATCCATATCGGGAGTAATTCAGTCATCCTTATCTACAAAGTTGTTTTGCTTACTGTTCTGCATTTACTCAGAAAGCTTTTCGGGCATGGACTTCTACAGTATCTCACAGTATAAAAATCTTTACATCTTGAAGACTTCAACTGTAATATATATGGATTTAACCCAGCTCCATTTGGATTCACTAAAACTCATTTTCATCAGACAGCTGTAAAATGAAATGAGTTTGGTGGTCTGTACTGTAGACTTTATTGAATGATAATACTTACCACAAGTAGCAAGGGGTTGCTTAGAAAGGCCATAAAACCACTCCTAACCATTTTAAATTACTGCATACTCAATCAAAATAAGACACAGCAGAAAGCTAATCTACTAATGGCTGAGAGAAAGATGAGCAACTTCTGTTTCTCTATTCACTTACTTATTGTCAGTGAGGTATTTGTTTTTGCTGAGCTTACCTTATTATTAAAAATGACTTCTAAGTGGCATGTTTTAATGCTCACAGATGTACAGTTGTTCCTTTAGAAGATTAGGTTTTGGATCTTTTTAAACTACTTTCATCAAGAAATTAAGCTGAAAAGTATGGAAAAGGCATCTTTAGCAAGATATTTAGAAGCTCTCCATTTCAGCTGAATTTAAATCTCTTGTTGCCATGCATAGCGTTTGGGCCACAAAGAATATGGAAATAAAAAATTTCCAAGATATTTTCTGAAAAGCAGACCTTTTTGGTTTATTTTCAAGCAAAAAAAAGTTGATTAATATTTTTCTGAATATGTGGGTTTTCTCTAGCATTAAATTTTGGACAGTTGATTTATAATGTCGCACAAAGTATTTACAGACAATTCCCTTTTTCACTGTTTTCAAGGCATTTGCAGTCCTCAGTCTCCATCACACCTACAAGATAGGTAAAATACTATCTGTGTGTCCTGCTAGACAAATGGAGGCACTGGGTCCCCACGTGGAGTGTGATGCTTGAGTCAGTGCTGTCTTGTTGATAACTGAGAAAACAGGAAAGAAGTGAATATTGAAAAAGAATGAAGAAAAAACATAAGCACAAAGGTCTGCAAAAGCAGAGCTGTACCATTTCCATGTAATTCAGAAGGGCATCTCTGTTTTCGTGCCAGATTATAAACAGTTCTTCTTCCAAAGGAAACTTTTCGCATCCTACCTCCACAGTAACTTCAAAGCAATTTGTATGAAGATAATTAAAATCTGCCATACCTACAGGTTTAAAAAGAAAAAGGAGAGAACGTGAACAAGCCATTTAACCCTTAACTGGAGCTTTGCTGTTGCAGTCATCTGAACACAATCCTTGTGGGTGTGTCCTTACATCATTGTAAGGACTGTGCATGGTCAACATCTAAAAAGAGTTCAACAAATTCCAAATTTTGCAGCTCATGTCAGCTACATATTAAATAATGACAATGACACTTTTTTCAGTAAAAAAAAAGCATAATTTTAAATTATAATTCACCTGATCAAGAAGTAACAATAGAGAGATAAGGAAAAGTTAATCATGGTAATTGGATAATCAGCTGTATCAGAGGTGGTTGCCAAGGACGATCTTTTGTCATTAGTTTTTTCGAAACTGTCCATGTACAAAAGACATTGAATCTAGTTTTCAGAAGAAAGTAGGCCAAAAAATATTTAAACCTAATTTTCACTAAAGCTCTCTAAGTGCCTCAGTTCAACATTATTATCTGAGGATCCAGCTAGGTCCTATTTGAAAACACAACTGAAACACTCCCGAAAATTTTATGAACACTGTTATTTCAACCACACCAGTATTTCAGGAATCCTGAAGAAAACTAAATACTATCTTTGGGAATGTAAATTAACAACCTAAGCACAAATGAATAGGATGATTTTCTTTGTTGCAGTTTGTCCTGAAAAAGCATGTATTTAAACTTCACTTGCATAGTCAGCAGGGTGGATTCAAATTTATGCTGCTAGGGAATGAGAGCATAGCATTAAGCGTTTACTTCTACATTTCAGATTTTATACTTTAAAAGTTACCTTAAAAGTTTGGCCAAACTTAACTTTTCTCAGGTCATATCAGAGCTGAACACATCCTGTGGCATCTGAATATAAATGTTACCAAAGTACCTTTTGCTGCTTAAATCCCTTACAAGTTACTTTTTGCAGCTACTTTTTGCAGTTATTTTTACTAAAGCAAAATCAAAAAAATAAAATAATTCCTTTCAAACCCTGGTGTCTCACAAAGGTCATATAGAGGCTTCACCTCACTTGATATGATGGGAAAGTGGGTTTACCTCCGGCAAAGCTGTACCATTCAGCACCATTTATAATACCTCCACGTTTCACAAAGTTTCCACCACAGCGAAGTTCGGATCGGTCTGAGATGACTGGATGTGCATCTGCATAGGCTTTAGCCAGCATTTTAAACATCTGTAACAAAAGAGTTTAAAATATATTTGCTTTAACATACTGCAAACACTGTCATTGCTGGTAGTAACTATTGCTGTTGTGAGCCCAATGAGCTACCCTGTGTCCTTGAGGCTGATGGAGAGGGTGAGCTTCTGTGCAAGGACATTCAGCCAGAAAGTTTTCACTTGTCTTCTTCTCCAAGGTCCTTCTCTGCAATCCAACACATTTAGTCAGAGGTAACGTTAAATACCAGTGAATTTTGTGATACTTGGCTTCAGCCTATCACCTGGGGCAGAAGTAGAGGGCTTATTTAGTTGTACTGTCCCACATTTTAAAGCTGAAATTAGCTCCCCTTGCTAGGTTTCATCTCTTGTTATTTTTATCCTTTCAAAAACACCTACAGCAGCCTCAGCCCACGCAGACCTTTGCATTGGCAGTGGTTGTTTAAAATAGACGGTGTCAATTTGCTTTGCACTTACCACTCACACAGGACAACCTGCCAGCTTGATCTGAATGACAGTTGCTTCTCTGTGGGACAGAAACCATTACTAAAAAATGAAGGATAGGATGTGGCAATGGAGGATGTCACCAATGATTTCTTAAGAGCGTTGATACTGATGAAGAGCAGAGGAGTCACCACCCAGGAGGGAAGAGTGACAGGTAGATGTAGTGAAGACAGAAGAAACAGCAGTGATCTGCAGAAAACATTTACTTGAATCAGGTTACTGCCAGTTTTCTCCAATGTTAATTCCAAATTTGTACAGAAATTATCCATCTCATTTTTGTTTATTTGAGCCTCATCTACAAAAGCTGTAATTTCAGACTTCAATATTGAAATTACAATTATCAGATGCTACTAGAGCCTATTACTCAGCATCATGAGTTCATTGCATGTTGCTTAAGACATAATACACATGCAAGAAGATGGATGGCTAAAACTCTATTTTTAGAAGTGATCTTAAAACCTCATCCCTGATGTTGTCATCAAGGATAAAGACCAAAATAATCAAACACAACTCTGTTCTAACATTTATTAACATTAACATTTCTAATTATCACAAAGCTGAGCCAATCATGGGATCAGGAAAGTGACCAAAGAAAGGTGAAAAGAGAGTGACATGTAAGTGTGAAGACAATTTATCAAACTACTTCTGATGACCACAGACTAAAACTCCTGACTTAATTAAAATGCTTTCTCAGTCCAGACAATTACATCTCCTTCAGAGTTGTGCTGGAAAGAAATGAATGCTAATTAAATATGTTAAGAAGAACTTTTCCAGCCAGTAGTTGAGGGTCAGGCCCAATATCTTTAATTTCTACGAGAATTTGGGTTCCAGTTCTGAACCTTCAGCGGAAGATATTTACTACAATTTAGAAGGTGCCTATGTGTCTTAGGAGCATGTTCCTCATCTTTCCCAATGACATCTGCAGATGATTTACTTCCAGTTACCAAGTCTCCTCTTGTTTCACCCCAAGAAGCATAAGGCTTTTGCCTGGACACTGACACAAGTGAACAACAATGAGTGGTAGAGTGATAGTAAGAAGCAAAAGTGAGAAATCCAAAATTAAGTGAATTTTATATAAAAGCTTTTATAATTTTTAAAAAAAAAAATTAAAATGTGCTTGCATAATAATACATTTATTATCACTTAGCAAGTAAGTGTGATTAGTCATGGACCTCAAAAAAACTTAGGTGGAAGAAAAGAAAAAAACACAGAGGAATCCTGGTGACTTTGGAAGCATGATGCTTCATTTTGGAAAATGGGATCAGTGCTTTTGCCTTGGCCAGTGCTTTTACCCCACTGACTGTCACAGGTTG